TCTCATAAACCCAATGGAAAAGTAGTCATTAGCCTAATCTCATAATTCGTTAATCCCTTTATCAATCCAAATAACATTTGACACATTTATTTCACTACTAATTGTCAGTTATATAATGAAAGTTAGTGTAAAAATTAAAAACCTTTGCTATGAGTTTTGCGACGGATTTCCAAGTCTTTTGACAAATCAGTGAAATTGATGACAAAATCGGCTGAATTTCTAAGCGCTGGCGCCGCCTGTCTTTGGATAAGCATTATCTCAACGCGTCCTCTATTTCTTAGATCACTCAATACGGGCGCGAAGTTAACGTCATCTAAAAGAGTAACCCAATCATCAATTAACACATGAGATCATTAAAAAACTAATCAAACAAAACACAAACCCGTAATCATTACGACGGCCGACGAGTAACCGTTGAGATCAACAAAACGCTGGATCTGCTGCCGAAGCTTATCGTCGGCCGCGTTCTTCGCCACGCAATTCACGTGAATGACTGTCACCTGCGCTGCGTTCAGATCGTTGAGCAATTCATCGTTCACTTTATGTGTGTCGCAAACCACCAGAAACTCGCTCTCGCGGTACTTGCGTTCAAAACACTTCTGTCGGATCCGCTCCACCAGTTGTACGGCCGACCGATTGAACGGCACCTGAATATTCTCGATGTCCCAGAAAACGCCTACCGGCAGGTGAGGGACACTCGGCGGCGGTAGTGACTGAATGGCACTCTTCTCGTAATTACACACTAATGTCTGTGTATTGGATTGTTTTGAGCGTAAATGCGAAGACATGGCCGGCTTCGGGAGCGTATAATTAGTCACCAAAACGAGTCAAATGGATAATCAATACAATGAGTGAGTGATTGAGTGATGAATTGATGTCAATGTATGTAAAACTTCAGCACACGTTTCATATAGATGTGGACCCCCTCTATCGAAATGTTGTCCCTCTTGAATCCTTGACACAATGAACCTGAATGTAATAATCATCAGTTAATTTGCACTAATAAGTTATAATGTAAAACCATTATGGCTTTTACTAATACAGTCAACTCATTGTTTGCCTTACGTTTAAATGGTTTGGGTTTTCAGTCGCCTATCAGTCCAATGCTATCGCGTTATTAGTTATTATTAGTTACGATTAGTTAATAATAGATATTATAACAAATATTGTATACTTTTAAACAGGTATTTGCGCGAACATTTAATTGAGTCCTAAATAAACACATGGTTTTAGTCATCGCTTTTTAATTTACCATTCATTACAATACAAACCGTTTGTTTGTCCACACAATCCATATGTAGTTTTCAGTGCTATTCAAACAACAGTTTATTTCTATATAAACTTATAATTACTTTAAATGAATAGTTTTGATTGCATTTAATTATAATTAATATTTTAAATTTGATTTTCAATCATTTCAACACAATATTTACATTTAGGCAACGATTTGGACCACACATTGCGCACGCATTGAAGGGTCGCTCAAAATAATCGTTACTTATATACATAGGGAACAGTTTATTATAAGCATATCAATACTAATAACCACATAATGCACACTCACTCCCACCCCTCATATATAACGTTATATATACTTTGGACAATGTTTGCCACAATTGTGTATTTAAATTAAAAGTGCAAATTGTGTATTGAGGGAGCGTTTAGTCATTACGTGTTATTAAACCATATTTTAGTATTGGATTCATAAATCACATATATCACATATAACATTTATATTTTGTAAAATAATTATTGTTTTATTTAATTATAACTTTATTTAATAAATGAATGTTATGTTTAGGTATATCATCACAGAATGTTCTCTCTCTCTCTCTCTCTCTCCCCTCCTCTTACGCAATGGCTTTTATATATATGTGATATCTTTTATGTGATTGTGAGCATAACGTATATGTGAATAGATGTGTGCTTTTATATATAATATATAAGT